GCAAACGGGTAAATCTTCATGACCTTGGATTTGGCAATGGATTTTTAGATATGACACCAAAACCATGAACAACTGGAGAAAAATAGATACATTGGACTTCTTCAAAATGAAAAACTTTTGTGCAAAAAAAGGACACTATTAAGAAAGTGAAAGAGAACCTATAGAATGCGAGGAAATATTTACAAACTATATATCTGATAAGGAACTAATATCCAGAATATATAAAAAAACTCTTACAACTCAACAACAAAAAGCCAAACACCCTAATTTAAAAATGGTCAAGGATATGTAGAAGGTTGAGACTGAATCCCTGCTTCCTTGCGCTTCCTTGCGCCATATACAAAAATCAACTCAAGACGGATTAAAGACTTAGATGTAAAACCCAAAACTATAAAAACCCTGGAAGACAACCTAGACAACACCGTCATGGACATAGGAATGTGCAAAGGTTTCGTGACAAAGATGCCAAAAGCAATTGCATCAAAAGCAAAAATTGGCAAACGAAATTTAATTAAACATAAGAGCTTGTGTATGGCAAAAGAAACTATCAACAGAGTAAAGTGACAACCTACAGAATGGGAGAAAATATTTGCAAACTATACATCTGACAAAGATCTAATATTGAGCATCTATAAAGGACTTAAACAAATGTACAGGAGAAAAACAACCCCATTAAAAAGTGGGCAAAGGACAAGAACAGACATTTTTCAAAAGAAGACAAACATATGGCCTATGAGTATATGAAAAAAAAAAGCTCAAGATCACTGATTAAAGAAATGCAAATCAAAACCACAATAAGATACCATCTCACACTAGTCAGAATGGCTATTAATAAAAAGTCAAAAATAATAGATGCTGGCAAGGTTACGGAGAAAAGGAAACACTTAGACACTGTAGGTGAGAGTAGAAGTTAGTTCAACCATTGTGGAAAGCGGTGTGTCGATTCCTCAAGGAACTAAAAACAGAACTACCATTTGACCCAGCAGTTCCACTACTGGATAATTACCCAGAGGAATATAAATCATTCTACCACAAAGGCACATGCACCCTAATGTTTACTGGAGCACTATTCACAATAGCAAAGACATGGAATCAACCTAGATGCCCATCAATGACAGACTGGATAAAGAAAATGTGGTACATATACCCCTGGAACACTATGCAACCATAAAAAAGAATGAGATCATGTCTTTTGCAGGAATACGGATGGAGCTGCAGGCTATTATTCTTGGCAAATTAATGCAGGAACAGAAAACCAAATACCACACGTTCTCACAAGTGGGAACTAAATGATGAGAACTCATGAACACAAAAAAGGGAACGACAGACACTGGGACCTATTGAGGGTGGAGGGTGAGAGGAGGATGAGGATTAAAAAACTACATATTAGGTACTATGATTATTATTTGGCTGATGAAATAATTTGTATACCAAACCCCTGTGACATGCAATTTGCCTATGAAACAAACCTGCACATGTGCCCCCAAACCTAACATAAAAGTTAAAAAATAAAAATTGGCAAAGCACTTGAATAGATATTTCTCCAAAGGAGATATACAAATATCCAACAAACCCAAGAAAAGATACTCAATATAATGGGTCATTAAGAAAATGCATCCCAGCACTTTGGGAGGCCGAGGCGCGTGGATCACGAGGTCAAGAGATCGAGACCATCCTTGTCAACAAGGTGAAACCCCGTCTCTACTAAAAATACAAAAATTAGCTGGGCATGGTTGTGCATGCCTGTAATCCCAGCTACTCAGGAGGCTGAGGCAGGAGAATTGCCTGAACCCAGGAGGCGGAGTTTGCGGTGAGCCGAGATAGCGCCATTGCACTCCAGCCTGGGTAACAAGAGCGAAACTCCGTCTCAAAAAAAAAAAAAAAAAAGAAAAGAAAAGAAAATGCAAATCAAAACTACTTCTCTCCCACTAGGATGATAAATACAAAAAATAGAAATTAGCAATTGTTTGCAAAGATACGGTAAAATTGGAACCTTGCTGGTAGAAATGCAAAATGCTACAGCTACTGTGGAACAGTTTGGCGGTTCCTCAAAAATGTAAACATAGAATTACCATATGAACCAATGATTACACTCCTAGCTATATATGCAAGAGAAATAAAGACATACACCCACACAAAAGCTTATACATAATTGTTTATGGCAGCATTATTCACCACAGCCAAAAGGCAAAAACAATCCAAATATCCATCAACACATAAATGAATAAACAGAATGTGGTATGCGTATAATATTAATCCACAAAAAAGAATGAAGTATTGCACATGTTACAATGTAGATGAACCTTGAAAATATTATGCTAAGTGAAAGAAGCCAGACACAACAAGTCACATATTGTACAATTCCATTTATAGGAAATATCTAGAAGAGGTAAATTCATAAAGACGGAAAGCAGATGAGTCATTGCTAGGGACTAGGGGAAAGAGGGAATTAAGAATGACTGCTTAATGGGTATGGGGTCTCTCTTCAGATTGATAAAACTGTTTTGGAACTAAATAGAGGTGATGGTTATATAATATTTTGAGTGTACTATACATGTCACTGAACTGTACTGTTTAAAATGGTTAATTCTATGTTATGTGAATTTCTCTTTAAAAAAGAGAATAAAGATAGCACGATTTGAAAAAAGTGTATACAGAAGTATATTCTTTAGGTCAATGGCCTTCATCTTTTTAATATTACATACCTCTTTGAACATCTAATGAGAGCAATGGACCCTTTTCTCAGCAAATGTGCACATACAATAAAAATGTATATATCCAGTCTGGGTGCAGTGGCTCATGCCTGTAATCCCAGTGCTGCGGGAGGCTGAGGCAGAGGGCTTACTTGAGGTCAAGAGTTAGAGACCATCCTGGGCAATGTAGGGAGGTCCCATCTGTACAAAAATTTAAAATTAGCTGGGAGTGGTGGCATGTACCTATAGTCCCAGCTACTCCGAAGGCTGAAGTTAGAAGATTCCTTGAGCCCAGGAGTTCAAGGCTACAGTGAACTACAATTGCACCACTGAACTCCAGCCCAGATAACAGAGTGAAACCATCACCACCACCACCACACACACACACACACACACACACACACACACACACAATTTTGAACATAATTTTAGAGGATTAATAGGTTAATAATGCCTGAATCCAAGGAATAGATGAACTCTCTTTAACATGGCTCAGCTGCTATTTGTCCCTTTCCCTTCCCATCTCTTTCTCAAGTAGTGTCTTCTTTCTGTCCTTACCTTATGGTTTCCTCTTTTTCATGATGTCAACTTGCTTATATAAAATAAAAACGTACATCCACACAGAAACTTATAAGTGATTGTTTATGGCAGCATTATTTACAACAGCGAAAAGGTGAAAATGACCCAAATATCCATCAAAATATGACGGATAAACAGAATGGGGTGTGCACATAGAACAAAATATTATTCAGGTTCCTAGGGTACAGAGCTTATTCTCACAAGAGTGTACATACTCCACTACTTCCTAAACATATGTACATACTCCACTACTTTCTAAACAATTCTGCATACCATTTCAGGTGGCCCACTGACTTCGTCAGCTGGGAATATTTGGTCTAGGTCAATATGTACAGCATGGCACACACTGGCCTAAATTTGCTGAGATAGTCATAGGTTAGTATGGACTGGCAGGCAGCAACCCTGCATCAAGGCCAGACTGCCTCTGGGTTCCTGGAAGACACAGTTTCGGGGTAATAGGCACTGTGAATAAGGGCAGAGAGCAGGCAGGGTGCAGGGGACTCTCCCCCAGCAATCACTTCTTAAGGCCTCAGGAACACTGTTAGCTGCAAGAGTCTAGAATAGATTTGTTCTGGTTTTCTAGTGGCATGAACAGCGCTTCACTTTGCTGGGGCTTGGTTATCCCTGTGGGAAGTAAGGGGAGGGAGGAGGGAAGGAACCGAAGTCATGTACTCATATCACCACCTTGGTCACCTGTCCAGGTATATTCTTGGAGTGAGCAACAGAGTCATGTGCCTGAACGCAGGGGATGAGAAATTCTGGAATATGAGAGGGGGTGGAGGACAACACATTCCCCTGATCTTGGCAGGGCAGGGAGGATAGGACCATTTCTGCATCCGTCACATCTGCTGCCTTGGTCTCACAGCTCTTCCCTTTGCCTAGAGTTAATACTTTGAATGAAAATAGCCATGGGCCAAATTTTTTAAAGTGAAAATTTTGAATTTTCTGTCAACCATCAGATTCCAGAAAGTCTATTTATCCCTCGGTAATTGTTTGGGAACATTGTGTGTGTGTGTGTGTGTGTGTGTGTGTGTGTGTGTGTGTGTGTGTGTGTGTTTTAAATAGAACATGAGAGAACCAGCTATTTATAAAAATTTTTTGAATGTACATTTTACTTGCTGCCAATTGAATTCCTTGTGTATGTGGCAAAAGTTAATATTATGAACTTAATTTGGTCTCTCTTCTGAGTAGAAAATTTTGAAATATTTTACGTTTTTCTCTCTCTTAAACACTTTCTCCTAAATGAAGTAGTGTTATTTAATTTTGTGCTTGTAAGAATAACCTATGCTGAGGGGAGTGAATTAAATAAGACCGAAAAACATATTTAAAAAAACAAAATCCCTATTTTAACTACTGGTATACCTACTTGACAATCCACCTTATAACTATTATGAGAAGATGTGGTCCACAGGCAGAATGAACATAAGTGGCTGCGTGTAGAATTAGATCAAGTAGGTGCCTTCGGATAAAAGGAGAGAAAGAAAAAAAAAAAATCCTCCTAGATGTATCAGTGGCCAATAGCTGTAGAAGAAAGCGCAGCCCCTCCCTGATAACCACAGAAGAATAAATACACACCACAGAGAGAAAGGTCCACATTTGACCTCTGGGATTAGGAAAGACCAAAGGGCCCCATGCCGTGAGGCGAGAAAGAGGGCTGTGGGGGGCGGGGGAGCGCGGGGAGCTCAGACGGAGAGACTAGTGAAGGGAAGAAGTGGGCTGGCTCCTGACGCACTTTCTGCGGGTGGGAGGAGAACTAGGGACCCGAGCCCACTGGTGACGTTTTTCTCACGTGGTCAGAAGCCGACGTGTGCAGAAGTCCCTCTCCTCCAGGTACCAGATCCCTGTTTCCGTGGAGGAAGGCAGACAGACTTCAGACTCAGAGACAGAGAAGGCAACTGCCCTACAGCCCTGCAGGTCGGTACAAGCTGGGGATCCCTGAGGTAGGGATGGTAATTGTCACAGGCTACAGAGGATCGGATCTGCTTTCTAGATACCGCCCCATTCCACCCCTATTCATTTTGGCGCAGGAAATTTTTTGTGTTGGGCAAGAGGTATGGGTACCGGCTCTTATTTCCCTGGAGAAGTGCAGGCTTCTGGCAGAAGGTAATGTGAGAAAGAGTCATTTCCCAGAGATGGCTACGAACCCATCCCCGCGTGTGGATCCCTGTGGTCGGGATGTCAGAGGGCAAAGACCGGAGCGGGTCCAGGACTGACTGGATCGTCTTTACTCCTTTTCCGATGCTCACCCATTTGGTGCAAGAAATGGAGGGCTTGGTGCGCGGCGGGGAGGTGGGAGCGGAACTCGAGAGAGGTCAAGGGTTGAGAATTGGGTACCAGTTGGGAACTCCTAGGAAGCGGGGGACCTGGCAACGTCTGATGGAGGAGGAGGAGGACCGGGGAAGAGGACAGCGACAAAACGCAAGAAAGCGGCCTGATCCCTGCAGGGCAGCGGGAGGCGGGCGCAGTCAGTGACCCCGAGCTGCAGAGGGCGGACCCTGCAACGGGTCCAAGCCTGAGTTCCTGGTGTCTTTTCTCCATCCTTCCTCCATTTTGGAGCCGGAAATGGTGGGCTAAGGGGGTCAGGCGAAGGAGGTGCTGTTTGAAAAGGGAGACAGAGGTTTGATCTGGGGATCAGCTCCCTATCCAGGGAGAGTGGTTTCTGAACCAGGGAGGATTGAGATGAGGTAGCAGCAAGACCAAAAATGTTACTGAGTTTGGAAATAATTTGTCTTTTGCATTGCAGAAAAATGTGGGCTTTCTATGTATGTGGGGAGGGAGGAGGTGGCAGGAGTGTTTTGGACATTTCTGCCCTGCCCCCTGTCTCTGTCATCACCATTTTCAGAGAAGTGGTGGGCTCTGCTATTTGAATACCCTGAGGTGAGGGATTTGGAATGTAGAGATCTGAGTGCACCAGAACGCTCTGTCTTTGGAACATCCTTATCTGAAACCCCACTCATTTTTGTGCCAGAAAAGTGAGATAAAAATTTGGGAAGAAGATTCAGAAACATAGAAACGCTTTGGAAATCATCTTTCTTGCCTATTTCCCAGAAGTAGAACAATGGAGGGTCTTAAGAAGGAGCTGCGGAGGGGGAATCAGAAAGCAAGGGAAAGGGCAAGGAAGTGATAAGGGCTGGGAAAGTCTTGACAAATAGGGTCCCAAAGAACCAGTGTCCAAGTTGCCAGTCATTCACTTTCTCAGTTTCTCATTCAACCACCTGTTTTTTGTCTCTGCAGGTCTTCAGGTCTGTGGCTGTGGACGCTAACCCAGATAAGAAAAGGAAAGACGTGCAGTATCAGTGCAGGTCAGTAGGAGAGGACCCTTGCAAGTAGGAGTGACTTAGGCCAGAGCAGAAGTTGGGGAGTCCACTGCCCACTGCCCCTCCTCCAAGCCTTCCTCTTGCAGTTTCAGAATACTTGACTGTTGTCAAGACCCTAAGAGAGTATGGTGACGTATGGCTGGTGAGAAGAGAGGGGAGAATAAGAAAGTAAGAGAATGGATGTGTAGCATCTGTGATGCCCCTGCAGGATAGAAGAGTAGCCCTGAAATCTGAGAACTGGCTATGGTTCTGTTCTGTCTGCAGTTTTACAAGTCTTACAATTGCAGGCAAGGAGGAAAAGAAGAAAACTGCCTAGGATTCCCACAGGTCAGTGTAAATTGGAACTCCCCAGTTAAAATTGGTATGAGCAGGCATAGCCAAGGCCAGAGCACAGCTTAGGGACCAATATGCTCCTACACACTTCTCAGCACACTCTCCTTAAATATAGGGAGAAGCATCTGTGTAAGTTTCTGTAAGGGAACATGTGTAAGTTTCTGTAAGGGAGCATGTGTAAGTGTGAAGGAAACGAAGGAACGTAAAGGTGGCAGTGCACCTGGAAGATGGGATAGGGTCAGGAAAACCCTAAGTCAAGAACGGCAAGGACTCTCAGGACCTGTGTTTAACCTCCAAAGCCCTCAGTATCCTGTTCTTCTTTTTGTCTCCTAGGAAAGGCGAAGAAGGGAACATCTCAACATGGAAAAGCTCTGCAAAGAACATGAAGGAAAGCCAGAAAATGAAAGAAACCTAGAAAGTGAGGGAAAACCTGAAGATGAGGAGAGTACAGAAGAGGAAGGCAAGTCAGACGAGGAAGAAAAGCCGGACGTGGAGGGGAAGACAGAATGCGAGGGAAAGCGAGAGGATGAGGGACAGCCAGGTGCTGAGGGACAACTGGAAGATGAGGGAAGCCAGGAAAAGCAGGGCAAGTCCGAAGGTGAGGGCAAGCCACAAGGCGAGGGCAAGCCAGCCTCCCAGGCAAAGCCAGAGAGCCAGCCGCGGGCCGCCGAAAAGCGCCCGGCTGAAGATTATGTGCCCCGGAAAGCAAAAAGAAAAACGGACAGGGGGACGGACGATTCTCCCAAGGACTCTCAGGAGGACTTACAGGGAAGGCATCTGAGCAGTGAGGAGATGATGAGAGAATGTGGAGATGTGTCAAGGGCTCAGGAGGAGCTAAGGAAGAAACAGAAAATGGGTGGTTTTCATTGGATGCAAAGAGATGTACAGGATCCGTTCGCCCCAAGGGGCCAACGGGGTGTCAGGGGAATGAGGGGTGGAGGTAGGGGCCAGAAAGACTTTGAAGATATCCCATATGTTTAATGTCCTTGGCCTTTAATTCTGATTTATCTGATGGGAATATTGCCAGACCTGCTTTCCCTGGCAGGCATTTGCCGGGCTATGTGCTTTAACCTTAAGCTGATACTTTCCTTTAGGTGTCACTCTTGTTACCAGCAGACTTTTGACCTACCTACAGTGCTCTGTCTTTTAGTAGAGGATTTTCACCCATGTGCATGGAATAAATGTTCATGGTACATTGTAAAATAACAATAAAAAAGAGTTTTCAGAACCACGTATACAGTATCAGTCCATTTCTGAAAAAATATATATGTTTACATAATATATCCATACATGGGGGACACTACGCAATTGAGTAGACCAAAGAGAAATAATGATTTTCTTTGTGTGGTGGAACTGGAAATTATTCTTTTTCTCACCTGCACTTTTTAAAATCTAAAAACACAGGTTATTTTTGTTATGAAGGAAGTAATAGAAGGTAAACAAGATAGGAAAACCATAAATACTAGGCAATCAAAAGAACTATTCATTCAGCATATGAAGGTAGTGGGACACTTAACAATTCTTTCTGTTAGAACACAAAATGATAGATAAAACTCACATTACCCCTGGGACTTGAAGCCGGAGGAATCAGCCTGGTAGATTCATTGCTGTAAGAGACAGCCTTGTGTGAAATGGTGCTAAAACTTACCTCCCAGGGCTGTGGAGTAGAACAGATGTGACACTAGTCTGTGGCCTATGTTAGGCTGGCTCCTGCCTGCTCCCCTGTACTAGCAGTACCAGGTCAGACAGTTGTTGAGGGTGGGGAATGTTGCTGAGGGAGGTCTCACCTGTGCCTACAAATAGATACAGGAAGCTGAGAAGGAGGTGCCACTTTCCCGTGGGTAATTTCACATCTGTTGGGTATTGTGACCCCTCTCCAGGGTCCTGTACCCTCTAAGGCCCCCATTGTTGCTGGTGGGCTAGAGTCTTCAAGGTAACAAAGCCTTTTAGATTCACCTGAAGTCCCGGGTGAATTGAATCCCCAATAGGTTCCTTTCTGAATTGTGGAGGATGTCCCTCTTTTCTCTCTCTTTACAGTTACGGTAATACTGACATGAAATCTGGGGGAAAATGCTTCATAAAATCTTAACTAATATTTTTGTCAGGCATTATTATAATTACCCCACTAGACTCACCCTTTAATGCAAAGAGTTTATCTTACTCATTTTGTTACTCCATAGCACATAATAGAAGCTTGAAAAGTAACTATGTTAATTCTTGAGTCAGAAGGCCTCAGTCCTTGGCCCAGTTCTGCCCGGATTGAATACATAGCCTTGAAACTGTAAGTTTATTCTTTAGCAACAGAAACTTGTCACTTCAAAAGGAATACAGCAGAAGATGGATTATATCAAAATTCTTGTTAAATGATTTTAACATTGGATATAGTCGTGTTTTTCAAAGTTTGCTACTTACCAGCAGAACTCCTGCATGGTAATCACCTATCATGTTGAAAATGCAGCATCCTCAGACCCAATGTATCAGAATCTCTTTTGATCCACAATGTGTGTGTATGTGTGTGTGTGGGGGGTGGGGTGTGCATGTGTCTTTTACTTTTATCTCATATTCATTTTTATCAAATGAATATACACACAAATTTTTTAAATCCTATAGTATGAGGGTTTTTTTGTTTTTGTTTTTTGTTAAAACCTGCAGTTTTCCTTGCCATTCCACATTTCCACTCCCCAGAGGCCACTACCATAGGCAAGTACCACGAACATCTTGTTTTATTCCGGCATTTACCTCCATATTTCTGAATAATATGTATATGCTGCTATTTCTTGTTTTAGCACCTTTATTAAAAGGTAGTTTGCATGCCATAAAATTCACCCTTTTACAGTATACAATTCAGTGGTTTTTAGTGTATTAGCAGACTTCTGAAGTCATTATCACTACCCGGTTCCAGGATATTTTCAGCACCTTAAGAAGAAATCCCACATCCATTAGCACATAATGTCATGCCCACTCCCCTGTTCCCCTAGCATCTGGCAAGCACTGACCTCCTTTCTGTCTCTGTGGATTTGCCTATCCTGGACATTTCATATTAATTGAATAGTACAATATGTGGCCTCTTGTGTCTCGCTTCTTCCACTTACCATAATATTTTCAAGGTTCGTTCATGTTGTAACACATATCATTAGTAAACATTTGCATACGAATTTTGTGTGCAGATATATATATATTTTTTTTTATTTTTATTTTTATTTATTTTTTTTTTTTTGAGACGGAGTTTCGCTCTTGTTACCCAGGCTGGAGTGCAATGGTGCGATCTCAGCTCACCGCAACCTCCGCCTCCTGGGTTCAGGCAATTCTCCTGCCTCAGCCTCCTGAGTAGCTGGGATTACAGGCACGTGCCACCATGCCAGCTAATTTTTTGTATTTTTTTTAGTAGAGACGGGGTTTCACCATGTTGACCAGGATGGTCTCGATCTCTCGACCTTGTGATCCACCCGCCTCGGCCTCCCAAAGTGCTGGGATTACAGGCTTGAGCCACCGCGCCCGGCCAGATATATTTTTTATCCTCCTGATTATACACCTAAGAGTGGAATTGCTAAGTCATGATAACTCTATATTTAAATTTTGAGAAACTTCCAAACTGTTTCCCAAAGCAACCATGGTATTTGACAATCCCACCAGCAGTGTAGGAAGTTTCCAATTTCTTCATATCCTCACCAACACTTGTTATTGCCTGTATTTTTTATTAAAGCCATCTTAGGGGATATGAAGTGGCATCATATTGTGGTTTTGATTGGCATCTTTCTAATTGCTAATGATGTTCATCATCTTTTTATGTGCTTATTGGCCATTTGCATCTCTTCTTTGGAGAAATATGTATTCAGATTTTTGTCCCTTTCTAAATTGGATCGTTTTCTCATTGATGAGTTATAAGAGTTCTTTGTTTATTCTGGATATAAGTCTCTTATCAGATATATGACTTGCAACTGCTATTTCTTGACTGTTCATTTTAGTTATTAAGATTTTCTGATAGGATAATGGAGCAATTCTTTCTTCCCATTGTAATCCCCATTATCTATTGCCTACCCCCAATATAGCTTTACCACATACAATGCTTATTTTAGCAAGCATCCCAGTGACTCTGTTGCTTAATTTTGAGGACCATTTGTGTGTTTGTCAGGTTAGGCTAAGCTTATGCTGGGGTAGCTAACAGCTCAAAAACCTCAGTGGCTTAACACAACAAAAGTTTCTCAAACTTCATAAAGTTTGGGGATAGAGAAGCTCTGCTCCTCATAATCTGTCAGGGATCCATTGCAGCAAAGAAAAAGAGTGTATGAGGATCTCACAGTCACTTTTCTATACTGTGGTCTGGAAGTGGCATAAGTCACCACTATTCAAAGCCCACTTCTTCATATTTCTAGCTCCTTTAATTCTGACAAGATTTCTGAGAGGGCTACTATTTATGCCCTCTATATAGGTGATTGAACTGAGGCTCAAAGAGGAAAGCGATTTATTCAGTGTTCCATACCAATAAAGAGAAGAGCCCAGATTGAAATCCAGGTTTATCTGGCTCTAATGCAATGATTCTTAACCAGTTTCCTTTCCTTTTTTTTTTTTTTTTTTTTTTTTTTTTTTTTTTTTTTTTTTTTTTTTGAGACAGTGTCTCATTCTGTCACTCAGGCTAGAGTGCATTGGCACAATCTCTGCTCACTACAACCTCTGCCTCCCAGGTTCAAGTGATTCTCCTGCCTCAGCCTCCCAAGTAGCTGGGATTACAGGCACCTGCCACTATGCCCGGCTAATTTTTGTATTTTTAGTAAAGATGGGGTTTCACCATGTTGATCAGGCTGGTTTTGAACTCCTGACCTCAAGTGATCCATCCACCTCGGCCTCCTGAAATGCTGGGATTACAGGCATGAGCCACTGCACCCAGCCAGTTTCCTTCTCTAAACCAAGGATTTCATTTTCACTTTATTGTTCAACCAGTCCTTTAGGATGTCAAAAAAGTGGTAATGTTTCCTTGGATGACATACCTAAAGAACAAGGTTCACAATGGCATTGTTTCCTCCATCATCAATGCCTTAGAAAGGCATTTTCACACCAGTTCACAGCTTGATTATACTGGCTCCCAAATTGCAAACTGTTTCTGCAGTGAATGTGGGTGTTCAGATAGGGGGTAGCATCCCTTTTTGTTTGAAGTATAGGAACACATGCTCCTACAGCCAAGGTCTTTTTGCTTGGGGTGCCTTAAATTTTGGGGCCTGAATTGACTCGAACATCAGAAGCATTGTTCTAAGCAAAGACAGAACTGAAATCACCATATAAACACCAAAACAGGCCCAGGCACAATCAAGGCTCTTCTGAGAGTCTGAGCAAAATGAGTTGGGATTATTTTTCCAACTACATCCGTACCCTAATTGTCCTAGGGGCTGTTTCACTGCATTCTGAGAGAATGGTTCAACCCTCCTACCTTAACCCCAGATTATCTTGTAGATTGTACAGCCAGATTGTAGCTGGCTGTGACAAGGACAAATGCTTTAATTTTTTATGCTGTTAAGTTTTATATCCATCCCTACAAAAGTCTCCTACATAACCCAAAAGGAAAGAGGACAGGGAAAAAATGCAAAACTTGATGACAGAAAAATGAAAGCAGTTCTTAACACTGCAGACTATTGAATCTATCACCAGTCCATTCAAGCCAATAGACATCGGCCAATGTTGCTAAGCACGACCATATAATAGAGGATATGTACTTTACTTCTCCCTTACTTCTCTCCCAAACCTAAGAAATGGCTTTGGGATAAGGAGAAAAACTCACACTTGAAGGGTCACAGTATTTTTCCCAGATAGACATAAGTTCTCATCCTGCCTTGAGCTATCTGTTGCAGAAGCTAAATCCTAGATGAGTGTTTCCAACAATCTTCCTAAGAACAGACGCCAACTGCCTGTCCACTACCAGCCCCTAGAGAGAAAGGGTTTATGTTGCTTATGGGAACCAAAGGGAACCTGAAATTGAATATACTACTTAAGTCATAAAATG